TTTGGACTGTTATCATGACTCGGCTGTTGAGACTGTTATCATGACTCGGCTGTTTGGACTGTTATCATGACTCAGCAGTTTAGACTGTTATCATGACTCAGCTGTTGAGACTGTTATCATGACTCGGCTGTTTGGACTGTTATCATGACTCGGCTGTTGTGACTTTTATCACGAGTCAGTTGTTTTTCTTCCTGCAGTTCAGACTCTTCAGACCAAGTCGGTGCCGTTCTTTGATGCAGGTCTTCATCCTCTCATCAGAACCTCGTATTTTGCAGGTGGGTCCAAACTCTGACAGATGTTTCACTGCAGCTGGTCGGGTCAAACCTTCTCCTTTCTCTTTCAACCATCCTCCCCTGCTGCTTTATTCTGCATCAGGACCGGTCGGACCTCTGTAGCTTGTTTTTATTCCAAACTCTCAAAGTGACACAAAAACGAAGAGTTGTGAAAACAGCAAACAGTCCAGCCGTAAGTTACAGACAGTTATGAACGAGTATGATCACTTCTAATACGTTACAGTTCCTGACGATCAGTTACAGGCAACTCATTATAACTGATCAGAACTGATTAGTTCCGATCAGTTTTAGTTAGTCACAGTAAGCTGTGATCAGTTGTGAATACTGATCAGTACCAGTTAGTTAGATCAGTTATGATAAGTTAGTTATGAACAGATTAGTTATAGTCAACTCACAATAATCACCATGATCAGTTAACAATCACTTACGGTCAATTATTGTGAGTTAAAATCAGTTAAATAAAGTCTCCTATAAGAGTTCACAATATCTCAGCACATCTTAATCTTTCTGTCTCTCTGCCAGTCAAATGGATTTTATTTTTTCTAACTGCTCTTGAGTTTGAGTTTTCTCTCTGGTGGACAGAGCTCCGTCCATCCGAAGCCTTTTTACCTCTGACTGCTGACGTCAGCACCAGTTGTTCCTGATCTACAAATTAGTTTGGTTTGTTCCGGTCCAGAAACACCGGAACCATTTGTCACGGTCTAAATGTGAGGAGGGTCTCAGGAACTCAGAGTCTTGGGGCTCGTTTTCCCACCAAACCCCCTCCACTGATCCACAAAGCACCGAAACACCGCGACCAATCAGAGGCCACACACACACACACATCTCCAGGCCTTTAGGTCCTGGTTGACCCTCTGAACCACATTCTGGTTTTATATTTTTAAACTTTAAAATATGTAAAACATTTGATTTATCTTCAGATCTTCTGTGTGAAGCTGTCAGATTATTGTTGCGCTGCAGTCACCTCTAACGGTTATTCACTTTAATTAGGATTTAATTAACATCTGTACAGTGCTTCACGAGATATTTTGCTAACAAATACATCAACATTATTAAAATCATAACAAATGTCTTCTTTCATACATCAGACAATAAAAGAGACATTTATTTAGATAAATATTTAGAAAAATTAACATATGGCGTTTGTTCAAATCTACAAGTTGGCATTGCAGAAAAAAAAACCTTTTTACATCAGCAGGAAAAATGTACAAAAAAATCTACGTTTAAAAATAATCTTTCTTCTCTGAATGTCATCCTTACGCTTAAGGACCGTGTTTCTGTCTGTTAGCAAAATATCTCCTGAACTGCTGGACTGGATTGATAAAACTCTCAGAAAGCTATCTCTGGACGAACGTTTAAAAACAGATTCAGTTTTGGAGTGAAACTGATTCAAGATGGACAAATCTGTCTCTTCAGCATCAGGTCTGAGACAGAACGAGGGAAATATTGAGCAGCATCGGGGAGACGGTGTGCTCAGTATGGACACAAGAGACACCGTACCAGACTCAACCACCCCCAGGACAACGGGCCAGAGGTGCCTTCAGAACCAGATGTGCAATGAGACTGAATCATTTTGAGGGATGTTCAGATGGACTTCAACAGGAGAGATGCAAAATCTCTGTTCACATGAGCTCCACTTTCCAGAGAGGACCTACAATCCCTCTAGAGCAGGGGTGTCAAACCCGTTTACAAAAGGGGGCCAAAATTAAAACCTTTTTCAAACTAAGGGCTCGTTTCAGAATCTACATGAACTCAAGTTCGATACCCGACATCTTTTCTTGGTTGCAGGTTCCTCAACAAGAGTTTGACTGGTCTCATTTGATGTTCTCTGTTGCACTTTTGACATCATAATCAAATATTATTGAAAATAATTAAAGCGATAAAAGTATTTTACATTTAAAATAACATCTTGGGGGGCCAGATAAGATGTTAACGAGGGCCACATTTGGCCCCCGGACCTTGAGTTTGACACATATGCTGGTTCTGCCCCGAGGTTTCGTCCCAGTGACACGAGCCCAGACACCCTCCAAAGGGAGGCTTCCAGGAGGCCTCCTTAACAGATGAACCTCCTCAGCTGACTCCTTTCGACGAGGAGGTTTATCTATCAAGGCTTCTGAATCCCGGTCCAGGGGCCTTTCTGGGTGGAGTTTGCATGTTCTCTCCGTGCATGCGTGGGTTTTCTGAAGGGGGTTATGTTTTTTTTGGGCCAAGCCCAGTGGGGATTTTAGCCTCTTTCTGCGGGTGCTCAAGCACAACTTAATTTAAACTCAGCACCCCTGAAAAATAAAGAAACCATCATTAGGATCTTGTAAAGAACTCAGTTCACAAACCTTAGATTCACCAAAAATATTGAATCAGTTTTGGATAAATACGGAATAAATGATGACGCTCTGAAACGGGCCAGTAAAATCTATGATTTTTTTTTTTTTTTTTTGCACGAGTCGGATCCTCAACGCCACCTGTCAATCAATCCAATCAAGCCAGGATTTGAAATGACAGCCTTCTCTCTGAGAGGCAGCAGCTATACCAACTGAGCCACCGTGTCGCCCCCCCCCCCCCCCCCCCTCCAGGCCCATTCCTGGCAACAGAAACCAGCTCCAGAGACATTTATATTTATGGATTATTAACATGTAAATAAAGTACAGAAAAAAAACTTTAATCAGGACTCGAGTCAGCACTCTAAAACGCAGAGTCACTGTTCAGACACTCAAATGTTGTTTCACATTACACAGAATTATTTTATGTAAATATTGAATAATGGAGGATTTGTTCTTGAAATCAGTGATGATTTTTATTTTTTTATGTTTCCATTTATGATGTCATCCAGAAGACATCATGACTGAAGAAATCAAAGCCTCTCTGATCAGACCTCCCTGCTCCTTCCTCCTCTCAGCCTCCTCCGCCTCCTTGGTGGTTCCGGTCCCGGGAACATTTTCATGGCCCCTGGCCCCCCGGGGGAAGCCCAGGAGGGGCATGCTGCGGCGGGCCGTGTTCTCGGACCTGCAGAGGAAGGTCCTGGAGAGAACCTTCCAGAAGCAGAAGTACATCAGCAAACCGGACCGGAAGAAACTGGCCGGGAAACTGGGCCTGAAAGACTCACAGGTAACAGAACCAGAACCAGAACTGAGCCAGTTAGCACGTTCTGCTAAAACACAGAGATGAGACTGACTGCTGATATGTGCTGAAGAGCTGAAACTGAGCTGTTAAAACTGTCAAAACAAAACCTAAAACTAGCTTAACAAAAGCTAAAATGTAAAACAAAACACAAAACTTAAAAAAGAAAAAAAGTAAAACATGAAATTACAGATTAAGTAGCTGGAATTAAAAATGAGCAGAACACCAGTTAATAGCTAAAATGTGTAAAAGAAAGTAGCTAAAAAAAAGCAAAACAGTGGCTGAAATTTAAAATGATCAGTACAGCAGTTTAAAATGAGTATAAAAGCAGCTAAAAGAGAACAAATAATAGCTGAACGCTACAAATAGCAAAACAGCGCCTAAAAGTTAGTAAAACAGCTAAAATCTCAAATTAACAGAACATTTAGCTCAAATCAGCATAACAGTAGCCATTAATTAAGACATGTTGAACCCTCCTGCTGCCCTTGGGTCATAATAACAGTCATTTGGACCCAAGGGCAGCAGGAGGTCATCCTTCTTCTGCTGCCCTTCTGAAGCCACATTACCCAGAACTCATCTAAAGATAAGCTACAGTTGCTGCCTTCTGGTGGAGGAGAACAGAAACGTCACAAACTAAAACTTGTTAAAATATTTAATAAAATGTTTTAGTTGTGAGAGTAATTTCACTCTAATTTAAATTGCTTCCTGTTTACCCGTTTCTAAATGTGCACATCTTTAAATAAATTTGATATTGTTGAGACTTTACCGGACTTTCAGGGTGTGGTTCTGGTTCGGTCAGCAGAACTTTCAGCTCCAGAGTTCGGCCGCAGAGTTCGCACCAAACTAAAGTTTTCCTGTTTTTAGTTTCACACATTCAGTTTTTGAATTCAAACTCCTTCTACGTACCTTGTGCTACTTTAACTGTTTATATTTCAAAATGTTCGGCTGATTCTTGACAAGTCTGCGGTGACATTTACTTTTTATAACTTTTATATATTTTTTAACTTTGTTTACAGAAACTTTCCCCATTAAAAAAAACAAAACACTGAAATCTATAAAACCTGCTTCAGCAAACTGGTTCTATTTTTTTCTTCTTATGCTGCTTTTAGCTTTTAGCTGTTGTGCTATCAACAGTTTTGCCGCATTTAGCTTTAATCTTATTTTTTTTCTATCATTTAGCTTTCAGCTATAGCTTTGTTAGTTTAGCTTTTATAAACTGTTTTGCTAATTGAAGCTTTCAGATATAGTTCTGCTGATTTCAACTTCGGCTTGTTTTCTCTTCATTCTTCAGCAGGCCTTCAGCTTCACAGTTTTAGTAGAAAAGGTAGCTTTAGCTTTATAAACGGAGCCTCGGGCCTAAACTGTTTGTTTCTGAAACATAAAACCTGACATTTGACCTCTGACAGCCTGTGGGTTCTGGGTTCTGCTCAGGTGAAGATCTGGTTCCAGAACCGCAGGATGAAGTGGAGGAACTCCAAAGAGCGAGAGCTGCTGTCGACGGGGGGCTGCCGGCAACAGACCCTCCCCACCAGAACCAACCCCCACCCGGACCTGACCGACGTGGGCAGCACCTTCTACCAGCTGGACCGGGCCACAGTGGAGCCACATCTTCACCACCACCATCATCATCATCAGAACCCCTCCTCTCCTTCAGAGTCCAGCAAACAGTCGGAGCTGTCCGAGTCCGAGGGCGAAGAAATCAGCGTGTCGTGAAGAACTGACCCTGGAGAGGAGGAGCCGAACCCCAAGTGCCTGAACGTGTAAATATCTGTCCTGCTCCTCTCCGTGTACAGTTTCTTTATTTACACCTGAATGTTTGTTTGTTTGTTTACTGTTGAATGTTTCAGTTTGTTCATTTACAGTTTGTTTATTTAGTTTCTTTATTTAAAACTGAATGTTTGTTTATTTACAGCTGAATCTTTCAGTTTGTTCATTTACAGTTTGTTTATTTAGTTTCTTTATTTACAGCTGAATCTTTCAGTTTGTTCATTTACAGTTTGTTTATTTAGTTTCTTTATTTAAAACTGAATGTTTGTCTATTTACAGCTGAATCTTTCAGTTTGTTTATTTACAGTTTGTTTATTTACAGTTTCTTTATTTACAGCTGAATGCTTGTTATTTACATTTTATTAACAGTTTTTTTAACAGCTGAATGTTTCAGTTTGTTCATTTACAGTTTGTTTATTTAGTTTCTTTATTTAAAACTGAATGTTTGTTTATTTACAGCTGAATCTTTCAGTTTGTTTATTTACAGTTTGTTTATTTACAATTTCTTTATTTACAGCTGAATGCTTGTTATTTACATTTTATTAACAGTTTTTTAACAGCTGAATGTTTCAGTTTGTTCATTTGTTTTTTTTAATTTACTGTTTCTTAATTTCCAGCTGAATGTTTGTTTACCTACAGTTGAGCGTGTGTTTATTTACAGTTTATTATCCATTAGTTTATTTACAGCTAAATGTTTCAGTTTGATCATTTACAGTTTTTTTTATTTACAGTTTGTTTATTTACAGTTAAATGTATTTTTTGTTTATTTATAGCTGAATGTTTCAGTTTATTTACAGTTGTTTTTTTTACAGCTGAATATTCTAGTTTGTTTATTTACAGTTTATTTACAACTGGATATTTGTTTAAGTTGAATGTTTTTTATTTACAGTTTGTTTATTAACCATTTGTTTATTTACAGTTGAATAATTTTGTTTATTTACTGCTGAATGTTTCATTTTTTCACATATTGTTTATTTAGTTTGATTATTTACTGCTGAATATTTGTTTATTTACAGTTGAATGTTTGTTTATTTACAGCTGAGTGTTTCAGTTTGTTTACAATTAGTTTATTTACAATTTGATGTTTGTTTAATTACACTTGAATGTTTGTTTATTTACAGTTTGTTTATTAGCTGTTTGTTTATGTACAGATGCATTTTTCTGTATGCTTACAGCTGATTGCTTGTTTACAACTGAATGTTTGTCTATTCACAGCTGGATATTTGTTTGTTTATTTACAGCCGAATGTTTGTTTATTTACACCTGAATGTTTGTTTGTTTACAGATGAATGTTTCCTCACACAGTAATCCAGCTTATCTGGGCTGCCTTAGAGCCAGGATTTGTAGATTTTATTGTTTAACACTTATTTAAACTAAATGTTTTTCCAGTTCAGATGTAGAATTTTTCATATTTTTTTAAATAAATCCTAAAAGTCCAGTTTTGTTGTCTTGCATTTTTGTTTGTTTAGTTTTTTAAGAAAAAGAGTTAAACCCAAATGCTGGAAGGTTTGGTTTTACCTTCAGTAAACAACATAAACAACATTTGTAGAAAAACTGTCAAGTTCTTTTAAAAAATACAAAAATATAATATTTCCAATTGTCACTTTATTTTGACACAAACAGAAAAGAAAGATTAGCTACTGGTCACTTCTGAACTAAAATAAAGTTATTTCCTGCTGACGTCTTCTAATTAGTGGATAAAGACTTTATGGTGGACATCAGGTCCACGAGTCCAACTTCAGTCAGACAAAACAAACATTTAGACGTCGACCGGTTCTGGTCCACTTGACTTTCTTTGTTAACGCGTTAAAAACATTAAGAATCAGGTGAAGTATAAGGGCTTGTGTCCCAGAGTGTCTCAATGTGTCCCAGAGTGTCTCATTGTGTCCCAGAGTGTCTCGTTGTGTCTATCTTGTGTTAGTCTCATGCCCATCATGTCTTTGTCTGTCTGCAGAACCCTGGATGATGTCTCTGATTGTCTGTGTCTT